AAGTATGCACAGGTTTAAACACTCAAATTGTTCAAGCAGAAGAAAGGATAACAGAGGTCAAAGTCCAACTTAATGAAAGAAAACAAGAAGACAAGATTAGAGATAAAAGGATAAAAAGGAATGAGCAAAGTCTCCAAGAAATGTGGGACTATGTGAAAAGACCAAATTTACGTTTGATAGGTGTACCTGAATGCGATGGAGAGAATGAATCCAAGCTGGAAAATACCCTTCAGGATATTATTCAGGAAAATTTTCCTGAACTAGCAAAGCAGGTCAACATTCAACCCCAGGTAATACAGAGAACACCACAAAGATATTCCTCAAAAAGAGCAACCCCAAGGCACATAATCGTTAGATTCACCAGGGTTGAAATGAAGGAGAAAATACTAAAGGCAGCCAGAGAGAAAGGTCAGGTTACCCACAAAGGCAAACCTATCAGACTTACAGCAGATCTCTCAGCAGAAACTCTACAAGCCAGAAGAGAGTGGGGGCCAATATTCAACATCCTCAAAGAACAGAACCTTCAGCCCAGAATTTCATATCCAGCCAAATTAAGCTTTACAACTGAAGGAAAAATAAAATCTTTTATGAACAAGCAAGTACTCAGAGATTTTATTACCACCAGGCCTGCTTTACAAGAGCTTCTGAAAGAGGCATTACACACAGAAAGAAACAACCAGTATTAGCCTTACTAAAAATATACCAAAAAGTAAAGAGCACCAACATAAAGAAGAATTTTCATCAACGAATGGATCAAACAGCCAGTTAACATCAAATGGCAGTAACCCTAAATTTAAATCGACTAAATCCCCCAATCAAAAGACACAGCCCAAACCCAATGGCATGTTACATCCAGACCTGTTTCACATGCAAGGATACACAAAGACTCAAAACAAAGGAATAGAGAAAGATTTACCAACCAAATGGAGAGCAAAAATAAATAAATAAATAAATAAAAAGCAGAAGTTGCAATTCTCGTAGCGGATAAAATAGATTTTAAAGCAACAAAGATATAGTGGTAAAAGGATCAATACAACAACAAGAGCTAACGATCCTAACACCCAGATACATTGAGACTTAGATTCAATGAGACAGAAAATTAATAAGGATATCAAGGACTCAAACTCAGATTCAGAACAAGTAAACTTAATAAATATTTATAGAGCTCTCCACTTCAAATACATAAAATATACATTCTTGTCAATACCACATCACACCTACTCATAGGTTTAAATGAAACATTGATTGGCCATTATTAATACCCATTTTTTTTTCAGAATAAAGCAATATTTCTGTTCACCCTCCCTCTCTCTTCCTCTTTCTTTCTCTCCTTTACTCATTTTTTTCTTTCCTTCTCTCAAAAAAAGAAATCAACTTGTAAACCTCTAGACCCATGTCAGCAATGTCTCTCTCATTGCTTAAATTCCTTCTTTCCCTTCCCTCCCTCCCTTCCTTCCCTCCCTCTCCCCCTTCCTCCCTTCATCACTTCCTTCCTCCCTTCCTTCCTCCTTCCCTCCCTTCCTCCTTCCCTCCCTTCCTGCCCTCCTCCCTTCCTCCTCCCCCCCCCCAAAAAAAAGAACCACAGTTCAGATTTGAGTCAGCTAGCCTAGATAGAAGGTGCCAGGGGTCAAAGGCACATACTTGATAATGAGAGACAAAGGGACAGGTATACTATAGGGTTTTATTTGCATTTCTTGGGCATAGTACTGTGGGCCAATATAGGACCTTACTGGATGTCATAAGTAAGTGGCATGGCACAGCTGTCAGCCCAGAAGTGACAAGATCATAAACTAGTCTTTCTACCTTTCTATCAAGTAAATACACACTTGTCTATTCTACCGTATCCCATTTATTTCATTTGTCTTGGCAAGTTTTACAGGTTACTAACTTGCTTACTATGCATATTTAATACATCTTTTAAATTCTGCTTTTCTTAAACTACTTTCTTACTCATATCTACATTAATACATGCTAGGGTTTCACCTGAATCTCATAACATACTAGCTTATTTCCTATCTATTGTCAAGATTTCTTATAATTGTCATCATCTAATTTGTTTTCTTCTATAGCAGAACTGAATATTCAAACTCACATCTTCTAGTGGGATAGAGATGACACAGAGCAGAGAAAAGCATGCATATGGAAGAAAGACACAAGTGAAGACAAGAAATGGAATTATCATCATCTTCAAAGATTTCAGGTCTCTTTTCTCTAGCTTCCAACACAGCTAGTAAACAGATGCTGCCTCTCAAAGGTCAGTCCTAATGTATACTGGAAACACTTAGGTAGAGTTTTAGGTCATATTCCACGAAGCAAGAGTTTGTATCTGTGCCTTGAAAACTGCTGCAGCATTTCAGCAGCAAATACCTTATTTTCTGTCACTCAACATGGCCTCACATATTTAATTGCCACTTACCTCCACCAATGATGAAACGGCATTCCCATACTACCGTGGAAGCCATTATACACTGTGGTATGAACTTTAGGCATGTTAAAATATTGGCAAGGTAGCTAATGACTGTTGGTGCAGACAATACAAATTGCTGCCACACTCAACCTTACTAGGAGTCATGGAGATCTCATTTGCAAAGGCCCATCTCCAGTAGAGCTTGTCCAGAAGGTTAACCATTCAACTGAATTAAGAAAGACATTTGATTTCTTCATTCAGTCTATCTTTCTGGTGTTGTGTCAACATGTAAATCACATATATACACCTGCATTGCCAAATTATTCTTTTTAAAATCAATTTTACAACAATTAAAATATAGTTTACTGTGAAACAGTCTATTCTCCTACAATGTAATAGTTATTTCCCTGAGTGAACTTGCATTATCAAAACTCATTTTATAAAAATAATAGTTTAATATTTTTTTAAGTGAGAAGGTTAAGAACTAGAGTTCCAGACTCTCAAGTAAGTTATTTTTCCTATTCAAATTTCAGTGATAAAGATTTTTGCTTGTTTCATTTTAATAGCTGTAATTGTACAACTAGACAAACTAAATGTCTTAGGATAAATCTAGCTATCTAGCTTTTGCCTTAATCTACACTACCAGACTATGTTTAGCAAAGCAGCTCTTGCATATTCTTATCACTTTATTATCCTGTCATCTATTGTTATGATGAACAAATCAATTTTATGTAAGCATAAACAAGGTACCTTTGTGGCCCTCCAAATGTGTTTCCCTAAAACCACTTTGCTAATTCCTGACCCCATCATCTATCCATTCAATCAACAAATTATTGAGTACCAACTATTTCTAGACTTTGAAAACAAGACAATGAATTCAATGTTGACAAGACAATATTGTGTCCCCAACTGGTTGAATTTTCATTATAATGAATGTAAACACAATTTTAATTAACTTGTCTTATTAAAAACAAATTGAATGATTATAACTGAAGTTATTATAGAAATGATCATATTAAGATTTTAAAAAGTGATTTAAAAACCTTTTCTTGGAATAAGCAATCAATTTTTTTTGGTTTTTAATCTATGATTTTTCAGATATATTTTTTTAAACAAAGGTGTGGCCATATTAAATATACAGTTCATATACAAGGCTGTTCGGGAGGCTGAGGCAGGAGGACTGCTCGACCCCAAGGCTGTTTAGGAGGCTGAGGCAGAGGATTGCTATATTGCTAAGCAACATAGCAAGATCCAGTCTCCTAAAAAATAAAATGAAACACATATAGCTGGGATCACTGAATGAGAATATTGCTGTGTTACTAAATATTCATTGAGAACACGATTTTTTATTACCTATTTAATATCCTAGTTAGTGCCTCCAAATGCTTCTTATTGTAATTAAAGCTATGATTCTTGTATAATATATACCTTTGACCACCCCACTGAATTGTTCTTTAAGTCTAGAAGTTAAATCCCTGGATCAAAATACATGTACATTTTTAAGGCTGTTATGTATCTCCAAAATGAATTACTTTTTGATAATGAATCAATTTCTAAAATTACCAGAAGTATTATATGAAAGCCCATCTAACAGCACCCATTAGTAGAGCAAAATATTATTTCTTAATTTTGCCAATTTTAGAAAAATGTCATGACTGGTAGTGAACATTTAATCTTTAAATTTTAATTATCAATTTTTAAAAAATTATATCAATACTCAAGTAGGAATATCAAGGGATCATCAGTGAGATTTTACAAATTAAAAATTATCTTAGTTCTACTTAGGAAAACATTTAATTAAGAGAAGAAATTCCTAAAATATAGAATATGCATGTTAAGCTCCTAGATATTTTAACAATAACTAAGTTCAAAATATCTAATTAGCCCAATGTCCCCTTTCCCATATACTTCTGAGAACATATCCAATTATCTTGAAAAAGGCAATTAAAATTACTATTAATAATCTTGATACTAAGGCTTGTTATAATTCATTTGATAATTACATTTCCCACAAAGATACTGTCAACATAAACTGTGAAACTGTAGATCTATCCTGTTTACAAGTATCAGAAACAATATGCTCATTGTTCTGTTGTACTTAAATGCTGCATTGCAGTTTTTCTTAACGGGTAATATGTGACATGAAACATGTCTGATTTTATGCTTCATAATTTCCATTCTGTTGTTTAACACTTAAAAAATTATATTTATGTATCGCACATGTCAGAAAGTGATTTAAATAAAGTAAGAAAAGTAATAGCAACCATGCCTTTCATTTCGAATGCAAAATAGAAATCTTTTGTTGGTAGATGTTAAAAATCACCTTTAATCAGAAATGCAAATATTTATATATTTTTAATTTATGTAGTCAGTATTAAATATTTGGTTGAATTGTTTATGTTTTATATTTTCAGAAATTTATTATGAATCAAAACATTAAGTCATAAAAACTGGAGACATAAAAAAACTGCATTTCAAGATTGACTCATGAGTTTAAAAATTCATTATTTCTATTCATTATTCCAACTTTTTTATAAGGAAAAGAAAGAAGAATAAATGTAATTATTTTAATTTTAAAAGCACTACAGGAAAAGGTATTAATTTAAGCCAGACTGAAGTTTACATTATTATTGCTATTTTTCTTCAAAAATATGCATTAAAATAAATATTTTTCTAAATACTAAAGTAAATACAATACATCTCTCTGGCATATTGATTTCTTTGAAAAGGTGTTCTGAATTTTAGACAACATAAATACTAGGCACTGTGGTGGTTGCCATAGTAACAAATAAATTGGAGCATAAAAATACATGCAATTTTTCAAATGTTTCCACTTTTTTTCAAAATATGCATATGTTATAGGTAAAAGATTATTCAACTCTTGCTTTAACTCCCCTTTTAGGGGGAGATACATGTAAATCTATAGAAATAGAAGATTATCATGTAGCAATGGAGCAGGCTCAAAAAAGTTTTTAAATATTATGTGGGAAATCTTAAGGTCTTTTAATGTACATTTTCCAAAATGAAGGCAGGAAAAAACTTCTTTTACTCTATCTTACTTTAATGGACAGTGTTCTTTGTTCTTTAGGTAAGGATAAAGCTCATACACTTCTTTTTCTCCCAAGCATGAAATTTCCTTTTATTTTGCATAAGTTTATTATTCACATGCATAAATGCAGCACATCACCTTGGAAAGCTGAAAGCCCTGTTGATCCCAAAGAAGCACAAGTTGTTTAATGCTCATCCAGGAACTACTACTTGAATAAACGATCTTCTCTTTTTCCACTCCCCTAATTAAAACACAGTCTTCCTATTTACGGGTATCTGAAGTGACATGGTACTTATAAAGTCTTCTGAATTTTACGCTTAGTTTAAAGGGCTGCAGAGGGAAGCAATTCCACAAGCCATCATGTGAAGTTTGTTATCTATTAAAAGGTACTGGTAAGCCAACCACAACAGAACAGAAAAGTTGCTCAACTATTATTGAGAAACAAATCCTTCAAACCTGATTACAAAAATTTGTACCTCCAATTTGCTTCAGCAACGATTACTATGTAATGTTCTCCTGAGGTGAAATTTAAAACTTTGTAAAGATCACCATCTAAGCAGAGTGCCAAAGGTAAGGTAACAAAACAGTGCTCTAGGGCTCGCCTTATGCTCACTCTATAAAGAAACCATGTGCTGTCATGGCTAAGGATTGACTGTCTACCAGAGGAAAGCAATGAAAAACATCCTTATCATGTGTATGCACAATACTATTTACTTTTACAGAAGAGAAATCATTTATTTATTTAAATAATGATATACAACAATAATTATCATTATGTTTTTACTAAACAAGTTCAACATAATTCAACATGAACATAATAAAAACATGATAGAAAAAGGCACTGCCCTCAGTGAGCTCATACTTAGGTACTGCAGCAACATAAGAACTTTCAACTATTCTATTCAACTTTCAACACAACAGCTTCATAATTTGACTAGTCAAGACATTCCTAATATTAAGAAAATATGACTTAATTTCCTATCTAAAATACAGCTCAATCTCAAGACAAAGATAACAGCTTTTGAGTTAACTTGAGAGTTCACCTAATAATAACATGACAATAAATCTCTGGAGAAATATTACATCCATCTAAATTCACATAACTACATTCTGCTACCTTTAGTATTCTAAAACAAATACTCAGAATCTGGGATGACCCAAAATGAAAGAGAAAAGATTATGCAGCCATCTAGGAGTAAGGAAGAAATTGTCTCATTCTTATTGCCATTTGGCATTTATATTAGGTCAGGTTTAACTCAGATTACAGTTTTCATTTTGCCAGTTGGGAGATACAATTAGAATGACGATTTTATTCACATTGCATTACCTGACATAAAGGTCTCTGTTTACTGTCTCTTTTTTAATACACTATAACACATGTACAAGTGTGTGCATACACACACACACAACACACATTCATATATTCTTACACACATATATGCTTAATATATTGTTTCTTTGACGATACACATAATTGCCATTCTGAATTTTCCAACTTCAGTAAATTTGACTTGCAAATTGAGGCGATGACCAACTCTACAGTTTTCACAATCTCAACAAGGTCTTCTAGATTCAGCTGGAAGCAACATAAATGGGAACCTAATACTTTGTGAAATTCTTCATACAAGTTGGTGCAAAGCATGACCTTTTTCTATACCTGAGCTATCTAGTAAAATAGCCTGAAGCAGCCTGCCACAAATAGGACATTTCTTTGGAATCTAATACTTTATCTTAAATATTCAAAAAGTGAAATATCCAATTTACTTGATAAATTATCGGTTAATTTTAATACAAAATGGTTCCAACAGATGGTTTCCATTTGATAATAAACCACATCGAGAAAATAAACCCAAAGCATTTATTACCCACAACATTGATGACAGTGCCTAAATAATGTGGTCCACTATCTTCATTGTTCTTCAGAGTGCAGAAACATCTAAAACATGATGATTTTCACAAAACTAACTGTTGGTTACAGCTTTAGATAGTATTTTCTTAAAAGCCTTATTCTTAAAGATAATTTATAGCTTCAAGTCTGATGTTCCATGTTTACTTAAAATTATTTGATTATAATGCCAACACCCACTCATCAGCAATGCTAAACTTCGAAGCATGAACAGAATAAGCACAGTGAAGTATCCAACCACCTTTGATTACTGGATAGTAGAAAGAAAATTCTTCAGTTTACAGAGTCTAGTATAAATAGAAATATCCATGACTGCAGGTTATGGAATTAGATAATAAGTCTCTAAGAAGTACATTGTAAGCTTTTTTTTTTCCTTGAAGGGATAATTAGTTCAAACTTTAAGAAGTCCAAAAGTAAATTAAAATATGAGTGAAGGGCTGGGCATGGTGGCTCACGCTTGTAATCCCAGCACTTTGGGAGGCTGAGGTGAGCAGATCACGAGGTCAAGAGATTGAGACCATCCTGGCCAACATGGTGAAATTCTGTCTCAAAATACAAAAATTAGATGGGCATGGTAGTGTGTGCCTATAATCCCAGCTACTCAGGAGGCTGAGGTAGGAGAATCGCTCGAACCTGGGAGGCAGAGGTTGCAGTGAGCCGAGATCACGCCACTGTACTCTAGCCTGGTGACAGAGTAAGGCTGTGTCTTAAAATATGAGTCAAATATTTATGACTGTCAACACAGAATAGGTCACATAGATGTGACTGCAACAAAGGAAAGAAGAATATCTTTTTATTCTCTTCTCTCCCACTCTTTTTAACTAAATCTCTCTGCTTTCAACATCTCAAAATGACGGAAAGATGTCATTGGAGACTGGAAAAGGGAAAACCTATCCGTTTTTAAAGTAAGGGGGAAATTATTTTGGTAATTAGACAGCTTTTTAACTGGAGACATGAATATAGTATCAGAAGAGCCAAATATGCCAGATGAACTTTCTATGATAGAATGACAGGTCACATCAAGCAAGAAGTGAACAGTGTAATCTATTTCAATGTCGTAAACCTTTTTATTCCCTCCTCCAATTCAGTAGGATAGGAAAAAATGATTTAGGAAAAAAGGAATTTTAAAATTGACTTCAATACTCAACCAATGGCTACTGACACATCTCTCTTTTAAGGATCTGTTTCAGAATAAAGTCAGCTTTTTTATTGATGACTGATAGTAAGAAACCTTGGCCTACTTTACATTTTGGCCCCATCAAATCAGGTCTCTGAGAGCTGTGAAATTTTAAAGCAGGTATTTCCTTTTCTTTTTTTTGTTTTTCCCTCAACGTTTGACCTTTTTTTCCCTGTAGAGCTCTTAAATGACTCGTTAATTCAACTAAGTGGTGTTACTGAGACAGCAGTGCAACACCACTGTAAATATAAACCCAAATTAGGTAGAAATTTTGAGAGGGAACAAGGAAGCACTTTGTGAATGAATTGAAAGGATTTTCTATGGCTAGAGATGGTAATCATTATTAGAGTGGTGCTTAAAATGTAAGTGCTGGGAAAAACACTTGAAACTTGCAGAGTGTGAAGAATAGCTGTTATTTGGTTAGAGGAGAAATAATGTAAAGATCAAGTCTGTGGCATCGAGGGATGAACCCACTTTTCATGAAGAGAAATCTCTGTGTCATGAGACAAGCTGGCTGACTACAAGAGAGGTCTGGAAACATGACTATGCTGGAATGAGGTCTCTCACTGGGGAAAGGAAGTCAAACATTTGACTTGTATTAGAGAATCAGGCAAGAGCCAATAGTATGTTGAACTGAGCTGCGTATGAACCAGGAGAATTGTTGTTCTTCGTGTAATTGACATACCTATTTTCCCAGTCTCTGTTACCATTTAAACATTTAAAATAATAATTTAGATATCTTAGAAAAAGTTTGGTTACTGAGTTATTGTTTGATCTCAACTTTCTTTGTTTTTTTTTTTTAAGTCAGAGTCTCGCTCTGTTGCGCAGGCTGGAGTGCAGTGGAATGATCTCTGCTCACCGCAACCTCTGCCTCCTAGGTTCAAGCGATTCTCCAGCCTCAGCCTACCGAGTAGCTGGGATTACTGGCACCCACCACCACGCCTGTCTAATTTTTTGTATTTTTAGTAGAGACAGGGTTTCACCATGCTGACCAGGCCAGTCTTGAGCTCCTGACCTCAACTAATCTGTCTACCTTTACCTCCCAAAGTGCTGGGATTACCGGTGTGAGCCACCACACCTGGCTGATGATCTTCACTTTCTTTCTAAGCCTCCATACCAGGGAACAATAAATCAGGGATGCTCCCATGCTAGAAAGGGAAGAGTGCCCCAAGGTGTTATTTGTGCCTTTACACACAGAAAAACATGAGAATGAGTAACTAAGTAACTACCCCCAATTGCTCTTCTCAGCTCTCTCAACACGAGTCACACTCTTTTCTTCCCCTCTTACCTTAGGACATTCCAGAATGTTTAGGGGAGCTACCTACCACATAAACAAGCTATGCCAGATAAAAGGGACTTTATTTTGTAACTAAAAAGGAAAAGTGGGGGGGGGAATTATTTATATTTACCAAGCCAAGACTCTAACAAATAATTTATTTAAGTTAATAACTGAAGAAAATATAGCTAAAGAGAATGGCCCTGTAGCTTCAGGAAACATGAAAGTAGTGCACTGTAATGCAAAGACCACTGGGACTAGGTCATGAAGTTCTGAAGCTCTGGTCCTAGTTTGAGGCCAGACCTGTGGTAAATCCTAAACCCTTTTCTGTACATTTTCCCTGCCTGTCTAAAAAATGGGGGTGTGAGATACTGATAAAAGGGAGAAACTCCAAAGTTCTCTGTCTCTAAAATTTTAGTCACTTAATAGAAGAACTTTTACATATAAAAGCTAAGGTGGTATGACAGAAAATGCCACAGATCTGGACTCAACTGACTTGGGTTTGAATTTTTGCCTCTGTTCCTTCCCAGTCTCATTGCTTTATGTGTATGATAATAGTATCTGCCTTAACTACCTCACAGGACTGTTAGAAGGATCAAATGAAAACATACACAATATGTAAAAGTGCTTATTAATTATAAATGTTAGCTCCTATTTAAGTCTGTCTCCTGAATTGTCCAAGAAACAGTGTCTAGACATGGCAGAAAGTATTCCATAGACTCTTTGCTATCAGAGAAGATACAGTTATTTACTATTTACAACTTCAGATTGTTTACTTCCTCAGCTACTGGTTTGCTAACAATGCCACAGTTGGACAGCCCAGGTTTCTATTAATACATACTGAGGTATGGAGAGCTATTCCCTGTCATAGGAAAAATATGTAAGTTTTCCAAACCAATTCCTCTAAAGAAAGAAGTGGAGACTTTGGCCAAAATTCAAGCAAAGTATTCCCCCCTCTGCTGATCTGTAAGCGATATGATCCAAGACCCCCAGTGGATGCTTGAAAGTATATACAATACTGTATTAGACCTTATATATAGTATGTTTTTTCCTATCATATATATGATAAAGTTTAACTTATAAATTAGGTACAGTAAGAGATTAGCAGCAAAGAACTAATAATAAAATAGACCATTTATAATAATACACTGTAATAAAGTTAAGTGTCTGTGTTCTCTCTGTCTCAAAATATCTCATTTTACAGTACTTACCTATTTTTGGACTGCAGTTAACCATGGTTAACTAAAACCACTGATAAGGGGAAACTACTGTACCTATGTTGGTTAGTGGTATGTTAGAAGTGTAAAGAGAAGCAAAGGATCCAATTGGTTGGGCTGTCGAAAGGATCGACTTAAAAGTCTAGACTAACACTAAGGTAAGGAATACCATCAGAAAAGAGTTGAGGGGATTTGGAATCCCCATTCTGATTCCATAAGGTGTATGTTAGTTGGACCTATGCTATAGATAAAGGAGGTCCCTGTGATGCAAAACCTTGGGAGGTCATCAGATATGGAGAGTAATTAATACATTTGGAAATCTTACCCACTACAAAGATTATTAAATAGGACTACCAAATGCTAGAGACGGAATGCTTTTTACTGATAATTTGCTTTCATACTACAATACCTAACTTTTCCCTCAGTAAATATGAAATTAATTTTAGATGGTTCTCAGCTTTCCAAAACACAAAAAGTTCATCTGTGAAGGCCTAACACTTTAAGTACATATAAAGTGCAAACACACACAATTAAATATAAAATAAAAAGAATGGTTTCAAAGCAGCATGTAAAAATACGCTTTATTGATTTATAATCATATAACCTTCTTCATAAATAAAGATCCATAAAGATGGATCCAGGATGGCATGCAACTGCAAGGGATGGAATTTCATAGATCAAACCAGAGCAAAAAGGTCCAAAGGGAGGACTTAATGGAGACACAGCCTCATTAGCACAAAGAAATTCAATTCAACTCATTACATATCAATTACCAACTAATACCTATCTTTAGAGAGACAGTAGCATATACACTAATTTACGTTAGTAAAGTTGAACCAAATATATTTCTAATCTTTTTTTTTAAGACAAGAGGCTTGCTCTGTCACCCAGCTGGAGTACAGTGGCACTATCTCAGCCCACTATAACCACTACCTCCAAGGTTCAAGAGATTCTCCTACCTCAGCCTCCTGAGTAGCTGGGACTATAGGCATGCGCTACCATGCCCAACTAATTTTTGTATTTTTAGTAGATACAGGGCTTCACCATGTTGACCAGGCTGGTCTTGAACTCCTGACCTCAAGTGATCCACCTGCCTCACCCTCCCAAAGTGCTGAGATTACAGGTGTGAGCCACCACACCCAGCCTATAATCATTTAAAGTGCTCTAGGTTTGTTAATTCTTACTGCATCTAGTTCCTTGACCAGCACTTGCTCTAAATCCAAGGCAGGAAACAAGTAACAACAGCACTTGCATCCTAATGACAATCTTAGCCTCATCTACTATCTGAGGCAAGAAACTGGAAAAACAGGATATATTGTGGGCTAAGATCAAAAGAACTGTTACAGAGGACCTAGAAATATCTCATTCTACATTTGGCTACACTTCCTTACCACTTCTTTTGCAGGATTACCTGACTTTAACCAAAGACTAACTTACGACCTATTTCTAAGAGTATCTTTCTCTATACTGAAATTTCTGAATGTTATTATATATATGTAATATATAAATCAACAAAATTCACAGATTTTTAAGATCCTAAATTTAAATACATATAGGTTTATTGTACTATGGAATAATCTTTCCTTTTCTTGTATTCAAATAAGAAAACTTCAGTTGTGGCTGGGTGAAGTGGCACATGCCTGTAATCCTAGCACTTTGGGAGGCCGAGTTGGGCAGATCAAAAGGTCAGAAGTTTGAGATCAGCCTGGCAAATATGGTTAAACCCCGTCTCTACTAAAAATATAAAAGTTAGCCGAGTGTGGTGGCGGGTGCCTGTAGTACCATCTACTCAGGAGACTGAGGCAGGAGAATTGCTTGAACCTGGGAGACAGAGGTTGCAGTGAGCTGAGACCAGTGCACCTGTACTTCGTCATACAGAGAGAGATTCCAACTCAAAAAGAAAAAAAGAAAGAAAATTTCAGTTGTCCCAAATATAATAGAAACTAAAAATAGTTAATAGTGATAGAGGAATATTCATAGAGACTAACATTGCAGACTAGGATTTATACTACAAAGATTTTTTTTAAATAATAGTCTTTCAAGTTGATGTATCTGAATGCCTTTCTCTAATGCTCCTGCTTCACCTGCAACACATCAGACAAGGTAATAATTTATGATAATCATATGAAAATATACAATTAATATTCACCACCTCTCATTCCTCATCACTTTAGATGATCAGTAATGCAGAGTGAAAATGCTGTCAGATTTCTAATTGCTTTGTAATGGGCTTGAAACAGGGAAATCATTAAAGGCAAACAATCTGTCATTTGTCTGTTACTTTATCTATCACACCAAAAAACTCATTAAAGAAATTGCTAATGAGCTACAACAGACTAGATTCATGGTGCTTCTATAGCAGATTAAAAAGTAATACTATGAATTGCTTAAAGTATTTTAAAAATATGATATTTTTGTGAAATTCATCAGAAAACATCTATTCTTCAGTATATTTTTTAAGATATGTGGTTTCATTATTTTGGCATTTAATCCATCATTGCAGAAATCCCTTTAGCATACAACACTTGTTTTTCTCGGTCTCTAAATAAACTTAAAGGTTTCAAGAAGCTGAAATGTTAAATATGTTTATTACTAGCAAACTGACATAAGTAATAAAAAATAGACTATAGTAACTCTAATGCTAAGTGAAGAATGTATTTTAAAACGTGATTTTTACTCTCATATCTCTTGTGGATTTAAACTGGTGAAGTTGCAATGCTTTATTCATCTTAAATAATGCTATCATCATACAAAAATTATATTTGATGACTGAATTTGAGCATAATAATATTAAACTGTGTGTAATAACATTAACTATTTTGAAATCTTTGAAAATATTCACCAACACTAAACTGTTTCATAATTTTACTTCATATAATTTTAGGGGAGGAAATAAATTATTTCTTTAAGTGAGCACACAAAATTTCATATGCCTTTATGAATTCTACCTTTCCACATGACATACTTAGCATTTAAAAACCTATAATAACACTAATCTTATTTTAAAAGAAAAGTCATTGCCTTATATTTTTGAAAAAATTCAAGTAACAAAGATAACAACGATACTAATTATGTTTTCCATTGCTAATGATGAATGAAGTCATGAGTTTAATTTCCTATAACAAAAGATGAGGCTCATTAATAAAGTCAAACTTTTATATATGTTGACCTATTCATATCTATTAGAATTCACACAAATTAAAAAACCTGAATGCAATAGCAGGTGCCATAGTTAATATACACTAGTGAATTCCACACTAACTTCAAAAGGTTCCATAACACCCTGGAAACATCTTCATTATACTCTCTAATTGACTTAAACAGACTTCAAATCAACTGTTTAACACATTTTAACCCACAAATTAACACCCCTTGATCATTCAGATTAACCTTTCTTCCCTGGGTCAATTACATGCCAAAAATAAACTTTTCAAAAAAAAAAATTCAGTATTAAAAAAAATAAAGTAGAGAAAGTAGCATGCTTTAACAAACAGTATAGCCAGTCCCTGACTTAGGATGGTTTGACTAACAATTTTTCAACTTTACATGGTGTGTATTCTACTAATACATGTTCAGTAGAAACCATACTTTGACTTTTGAATTTTGATCTTTTCCCAGGCTAGCAATGTAGTAAAATAATCCCTCATGATGCTGGGCAGTGGCAAGGAGCAGCAGCTGCCAGTTAGCCATGCAGTCTCTGAGGGTAAACAACCAATACTCTATGGAATACTGTGTGCTAGATGATTTTACCCAACTGTAGGCTAAAGTAAGTGTTCTGACCACAATTAAAGAAGGCTAGCTTAAGCTATGATGTTCAGGAGGTTAGGTGTATTAAGGCACTAATAGATTTTCAGCCTAAAATGGGCTTATCAGACATAACCCTGTCGTGTCAAGGAGCATCTGTATATGAATACATATCCCCACGTGACTGGAAGAGATCACCACAAACTTCAGGGTAATTCGAAAGTGCACAGAAAAACCAGAGTAGTCATAAGAGAAAAGGGTAAAGAAGTGAATGGGGAAAAAAAAGTTGGTATTTGTACGATTATTAAAGATAAACAGAAGATGGATTATAGACAATATCTTTAATAGGCTCAGGGAATGATTAAAACATCAGATGTGCAGATAGGAAAACAGGACCAAACATCCTAGATAAGATAAAGACCTGTAAGAGAACTGAAAAAAGTTAGAAAGAACTGACACATAATGCTAAAAAACAAGAAAAACACAGTAACAAGTGTGGTTCCACAAAAAAGTATTTACCTCTTCCTATTTCTCTCCTGCTTAGTCCACTGCCTTGCACAAACTCAACGAAAGTTCATCGATGATGACTACTATTGCTGAAATGGCAAAGGAGAGAACAGACTGAGTTAAGACAACCAACAAATGGAAAAATGCAAAAATGAAAACCATTTCTAAAAGATGAGCTAGGATTGTTCATTAGAGCTGATTCTCAATACTAGCTAAAGCTTTATGCTAATCTGCCAAAAAAAGAAGACAGGAAGTTTTTTCATTCTAGTCATTCACCTCTCCATTCCTTCAAAGCACTATTTAAAACTTAACGCTTTAAACATCTTCCTGGATTAGCTTCATCTTGATTCAAGGATTTCAATCATTCAAGTAATCTATTCTACATATTAGTGTATCTGCAAGTTATTAATTAATGCCACAGCACCTGGTATTTCCTCTGGCATAGCACTTCCTATAGTTATTTCAGTTCCTGTTTAAATGTCTGTTTACCCTTATATACACTAAGCTTTTGAGACGACTACAGTCAACTTTGTTTTGTGTCTCTTGTAACTAACAGAGTGTGGGGTACATAAGAGACACTCAACAAATATTTGTTGCTTGAGTGAATAGAATGAAGACTGTATATATATCATCTGCTAATTCTTGGTGGTTTTTCTATTTCCCAGTAGATTCTAAGTTGCTCTAGAGGGAATCATTCAATTTCAGAACATAACCATAATGTCCCATGGTACTTAAATACAGCTTAGTTCACTGGTATAAACATCCTAAAATTCAGAAATAAAAATCAAGGAAATGAAGGAATTGGCGATGGAACTACCAAAAGAGCCAAGTAAATATAATCCTAGGATAGGAAATCATTAGCAGAATTATACTTAAAAAATATACATACATATATATATTAAACTAAATATATATATAAATATTTATAAATAAATAAATATATATATTTCAAGTAGCATCCAGCAATGAAAAGCACAATTGACTAATATGACATAAAATTAAGAAGCTGTGAATGTCTGCTGGACATTAGCTTATGGGCAGGCATGTACTAAAGTGATAGATTTAATAACAGATGTCATTTTTTGCTATCACCATGACAAAGGATCTTAAACACCTGATACATCTATCTACATCTATAGTCCTTGATCAATCATCTTGGAATCAAATATTTAATGCATGCCCACCTTGGTTATGTCAGATGCTGATGACACAAATTAAAGTTTTATCTATGCTTTTAATTTATCCTGAAGTCCAACCAAATGTATATTTCAACAAATATTTCAGTTTGATTTTATTTTTCCAATTTAATTGTGTCTTGCTTTCATTTCCTTTCTTTGGAAATTTCTAAAATATTGTTATGAATGTCTAATATTCTAATATATCAAAACTGATCAACAAATATTATTAATTAATAACAACAACAATAGCTAACCTTTACTGAGTACTTACTACCTTCAGGCACTACTATCTCATTTAATTCTCACAACAAATATATAAGGGAAATACTATTTACTCCCATAATAGAGGAAGAAACCAAAACACAAAGATGAATTAAATTCATATAGCCAGTAAGAGGAAAAGCCTGTATTAAACATATATATTCTGACCCTTAACAATGATACTAACATAGTTTATGTTCCTGCTATATTAGTTTTACATTAAATGCATAAATTGCCTTCTGAAAAATAAGATACTGAGAAACAAATCTATTAAAGCTATGTATCATTAGAACTTCAGAGAAAGGCAAGATAGCTGGTTCTTAGGGTCTCTGAAGAGAGGTGTTCTTGCTCTCAGAAAGTTTGCAACCCAACTGGGGAATCAGAATACAGTCTAAGAAAAATAATATACTGTGATATACAAAGGACTTGCTATGAAAGTTGAGAGGTGGTAGTAATTTCTAAGGACCAGGCCATCATAAAAGTCCTGATGGAAGAGATAGGCCTTAAAGGAGGAACTAGTCTGATAGGAGGAAGAAAAGAATTAGGGTGTTATAAGTAAGGAGAACCATTTGAACAAAATGATTGATGAAACACTGTTACCAAAACACCAGGAGTTCCATCTAGGTCTTGCTGTTTGGCACCCAGAAAGCCAATCACTGAGACAATGATTATTTGCCAAAGAATAAGGCTTTAATCAGATGCTGCAGCCTAGGAAATGGGACATCAGTGTCAAATTCATCTCCCTCACTGACTAAAATTAGGGGTTTATATAGCAAGGAAGAAATGTTAACTATGTATGAGAAAACATAAACTAGGGAGGAATAAAGAAGCAATAATGAGGAATGAAGAGTCTGGCATCTCATTGTCCAGATGCAATAATCTGGTTTCAGTTCTTTGACACTTTTTGAGAGGTCTGGGCATCCTTTCTTGAGGAAATAACTCAGATAAAAATAAACCAAATATGGCTGGGTGCATTGGTGCATGACTGTAATCTCAGCACTTTGGGAGGCTGAGGCAGGCAGATTACTTGAGCTCAGGAGTTCCAGACCAGCCTGGCCAACACGGTGAAACTCCATCTCTACAAAAAAAATACAAACTTTAGCCAGGCACGGTGGCACACACCTGTAGTCCCAACTACTTGGGAAGCTGACTTAGCAGATGGCTTGAGCTTGGGAGGTAGAGGCTGCAATGAGCTGAGATTGTGCCACTGAACTCCAGACTGGATACTGGGGCGAGACCCTGTCTCAAACAAACAAACAAACAAACAAACAGATAAAACAAATGCAAGTTTCAAGCTTTCAGACAGGAAGTATCCATTTCTATGTTTATTTAAAACAAAACAAAACAAAAACCCTATTTATGGGACTATTGGGTTGGTTTCAGTACCATTAAAAGATCCAATTGTTTGAATGTTTCATGTATGGAGATAATAGGTGAGGCTGGAAAAGCAAAGATCATATTGAAGAGGAAACTTGAATGCCCGGATAAGGAGTTAGGACTTTATTCTCTAGACCTGCCCTGCTTGATACAGTAGCCACCAGTCACATGTGGCTACTGAGCATTTGAAATGTGGCTAGTTCAAACTGAGGTGTCTTCCAGCACAGTACACACCAGCTTTTGAAGACTTAGTAGGAGAAAAGAATGTAAAGAATCTCCTTAATAATTTTTATATTGATGAATTTTAAAGTACTATTCTGGATATACTGGATTAAATAAAATATATTGTTAAAATTAATTTTACCTGTTTCTTATGTGTCTAATGTGACTACTAAAAAATTTAAAATCACATAGGTAGCTTGCTCTTGTGGCTTACATTATTTTTCTATTGGAAATTACTACTCTAGAAAATGAAAAATGAAGGAAGATTAATGATCAGAAATTTATGTAAAACTTGTTTTAAGTTTATTTTGGTACAAACAGATAGATAGACAGAGTATAAGACAATTGGTCTCATTCATAAGCCAATGGCAAGAAAAGAAAAAAAACAAGGCTGTAGTGAAGGAGTGGGACTCTTATAGTTTAAAAGACATTTAAGAGACAGAACAGCTAAATGGAAAGTGTAAATTTTGTCTGGATTCTGAGTCAAGCAAACCAACCAGAAAAATACATTTTGAATTAACTGTGGAAATGTAAATAAGGTCTAGATATTGCGTGACAGTCAAATAATGACATTATGGAGATAAAAGAAAAATTTGGTACATTTTAGGGATGCAAAGTAAAGTGCGTAGAGATGAAATGACAAAATATTTGGGATTGCTGGGAAAAAAATCTATTTCTTATTTCCAAACTCCAATAAATGAGGTAACACAAGAAACTAACTGAATAGTAAATCAAAATAAAGTGATTTTGCTTAAAAAAAAAAAAAGAAAGAAAAAAACCAGAACATATCTACCTATACAGGGAAGACCTCAGCAAGCAATGGATAGAGGGGAGTTTGAGGACTAAAGATATTCAAGGGGACATCATTCTGACAGTACCATTTAGGAAAGCATTCACAACACCACTTTATTCCATTGCTTCAGGTATTTCCATAAAGCAACACAAGAAAGTATGATGGAGTCAGGACTAAAACCAGATGCTCTTTGTATGTGTTTAAACATGACAAAATCCTGCGGAGAACCTAATCTATACTTTCATCTTTAGGTTTTTAAACTTGCATGTTTCATTCAGTTATTCTTTATAGTTCATAACGTCATAAAATAATTGATCATATTAAATTATTTTATTTATTCTGCTTAACGTTATCTTAACTGCTTCTTAAACTCAGATTGGTACGAGAAGGATAAAAAAGAAGGAGAGCAAAATCTAAGCAGTTAACAACAAAACCACTTTAACATCTCCAAGTGAAATTTATGTCATGCTGGCCAAAAATAAGATGTAGCTTTCATTGCCAGGTACAATGCAAGGAAGAGGTGTTAATGTAAACAAAGAAGAAGCAATAAAAGGAAACACAGGAATCAAGAAAGGGAGAAGAGAGAAGGAGCACTTCATTCTGCTTTTTTCTGTAAAGTTGAAAGATAGCATAGCTGCCCTGGGAATGGGTAGACTTGCTGAGTCCTTGTTCTGCTGCTAGCTATTTGGCCTTGAGCCTTAATTTCTTTCCTCATCTATAAAGTGGGAAAAATAGCACCTGCCTTACTTTTCTCACTGGGTTGAAGTGAAAGTAAACGTGAAAGAATTTTGGAACTTTTTTATGTTGTAAGTTGGTTGCTAAGGTCTAAAAGAAATATTAATAATTACATCGAATATCTTTTGGAGAAAAAAAATTAAACCGACCCCATCCTCCGCAAATCTAGCCCTACCCAGCATAGGTTTTAATTATCTTAATTATCGAATGAGAACATTGTGAAGGAACTGTAGGGACAAGGGTGGCATTAGATCTCTTCATCTTCTCACATTTTTGCCCCGCATACCTCTCAGAGTTCAAGCACCAACCGAAACGATTATACTCATCTCTAAAGGACGCGTTGAAGAACGGAGGGAAAGCTTGGGATGGCGAGGGGGGGTGCTCGCTGAGGAGAGAAGCGACAGTCTCGGAGCCAGGACAAGAGGGACTTAGAGCGAAGCCAGAGGCACCTTTCTTCAAAGCTCGGGAACTTACTGCTAGTAAACGCCACTCCATAGAAGCGGCGATCAGTTACCATAGCGACCGCGTCACGGCGGGTGGAGTGTCGCTTCTGAGTAGTGCCGCGGCCACAACTGCTCGACTAGAAACGCTTACACGTCGGAGCAGTAACTTCCGGCGGAAGAAGAAGCCGGTTCCGAGTTCTGGCCGACCGTAGGCAAGGAGTGGGCCCCAGCGTCTGTGTGAACTTAGGTAGGTCTGATCTTCTATAAAGCGCCGAGAGGGTGCCCGCCAATGGCTGGATGGGTAAAGCCGACGGTGAATGGAGATGATTCCCAAGTCCGGAGCTTGAGGAGGCCCCGGCTGCCTCGTTAAGTGTATATAGCTGTGGGAAGAGGTTGCCTGATTTCTGGGGCTCCTGGTAGGGTCTCTTCTCGAGGGTGGGAAGACTGGGGCATCCTCGCGTAGAGAGTTTTACTCTCTCTTCGCGAGGTCTCAGCGTCTCTCCATTAACAGGGGTCTCTCGTTCTCTGCCGGCCGCTGCTGACGTAATTTCGCATATCATGCTCTCCAGGCAATCTGGAGGAAAAGCAAAGGAGAAACATTCAGAAGGAATGCCCCCAAATTCATTTTAATGTTCATTTTGTAAATATTCATTAAGCTCCTTCAGCATGTTTAGTGAGTGCTTACTTGTGTGCCAGCTTTACCGTAAGACTAGCGGAAATACCTTAAAGGTTGATACACCATCTGGTTCATTATCAAATTCTTTTTTTAATGCTGTTGTATATTCATTCATTAATATATAAATCGTGAAATACCTAAAACGTTTTCCATACTTGTCGGTACATTTATACATGGAATTATTGGGGCGTTTTACATGAAAATATATGATTCCTCGGGTTTGCATTATAATCATGATTTACTCAACTGAATATTAAAGAACTTACAAAAGCAGTACTTAATTTTTTCTTAGATACATGGCAGACTGTAATGAATTGTCATTAGTATTTCAATTCAGCTGATCTGAGAAGGCCCACTTCTGGTTCCATGAATGATGGCGGTTGAGCACATGCCCATAAAGGATTGGTACAGCATCCTCGGTGCAGACCCATCTGCAAATATGTCAGACCTAAAACAAAAGTATCAAAAACTCATATTAAAGGTAAGTCTTTTCTTTCAGATTTTAAATCATGAGGGGGGAAAAATAACAATTTTTATATGAAATCACAAATTTAGGTTTCAAAAAAATATAGGATACCAGTGGCAGGAATCCAGGTATTAATTTAATTTAATTGAATGTTTCAGTAATATTGCAGAAAAACTTGATTTGAGATAGGAAAGCATGATGGTTAGGAGCAGGAGATCTGAGCCAGGCTGCTTGAGTTAGAATCCTGAGTCCATTTCTATCTGTGAGAATGTGGACAAGTTACTTTTTCTTGCATGTACCCCGGAAGTATTAAATGAAATAATCCATGTAAAATATTTAGAAGTGTTGTTACATAATAAACAACAGTAGCCACTAGCCACATGTGGCTGTTGAGCACCTGAAATGTAGCTACTGTGACTTGAAATGGACTGTAAGGGTAAAATATACATTAAATTTTAAAGACAGCATATAAAAAAGAGTTAAAACAATCTAACAGTTTTTAATGTTTATGTTGGTTAAAGTTCACTGGTTTTATTTTTTCTCCGCTGTGTCCATCTGATAAACTTATTAAAATAATTTTTGATCTCTTATCTAATTTTTATATCTAGCATTTCTACTGGCTCTTTTTTTAAAGTTTCCATCTCTTTCCCATCCTTTTACACATGTTGTCCACTGTTTCTACTATATCTTTTAATAAACTTATCAGAGTAAAGTCCCTATCTGATAATTTTTTGTAGTTAATAATTGAACAGTTTTTATGTGGATTATATGTTGAAATGATAATATTTGGGATTACTGGCTATTTTGTGTTTTATGTACATAATATGCATGCATGTATTTGCACATATTACAGTTTGTTTCTCTTGCATTTTACTTTTTTAACATTGTATATGTAGCCTGCATTTATAGCTTACATTATATTTCTATTGGGTAATGCTGATTTAGGCCATTTATACACTAATTATCAGTTGACTCAGTTTTTTTAAATGAATTGTAGTATTTGTAAATATATAATATCTTTCTGAACTTTTATATTCATTTTTTCAATCTATATTGTGATGCTTCTTAAGCCAACATCTGTAATTCTATACTGAAGTCCAGTTTACTCAGTTTATAAAAAGAGTAAAGAACCATTATTTATATGGAATTTGTAGCCTTTTTAGTTTATATCAATTACATCAATGATGTTTTACCAAAATTGTTAATGTTCATTGTTAGAGACATTAGCTGCTTCATCATCAGGTATGTACTAATATTCTTGTTTTAGGTAGTATGTTTAACTAAATGACCTTAAGTTACCTTTTTCCTCAGAATTTTTAAAATTTCTGTCAGCAAAATCAACTTTACTGAAAAATATCCTAGTATTAAATCATTTTTGTACCTCAGTTAATTGGGAGATGAGGCTGGAAAAGTAGACTGGATCTGGATCATGCAGGTTCTTGTAGGCCATGTTGGCCTTTAATTGGCCAATGAGAAGCAGTCTGCACATGATGTGTAGCATCTGTCAAACACAAAAGTTTGGATAAACCAATTTACATATGCACTAACAATGTATCAGGGAGTTCTGATTGCTCTACCTCTTTTTTTTTTTTTTTTTTAATTTTTTTATTTGAGACGGAGTTTTTGCTCCTGTTACCCAGGCTGGAGTGCAATGGCGTGATCTCGGCTCACCGCAACCTCCGCCTCCTGGGTTCAGGCAATTCTCCTGCCTCAGCCTCCCAAGTAGCTGGGATTACAGGCACGTGCCACTATGCCCAGCTAATTTTTTGTATTTTTAGTAGAGACGGGGTTTCATCATGTTGACCTGGATGGTCTCGATCTTTTGACCTCGTGATCCACCCGCCTCGGCCTCCCAAAGTGCTGGGATTACAGGCTTGAGCCTCCGCGCCCGGCCTGCTCTACATCTTTGCCATATATTTGATGCTACTAGTCTCTTTCATTTTGGCTATTGGAGTTTTCACAGTTTGGCCACCATTGACATTTTGGGCAGGATAATTCTTTGTTATTTGGGCTGTCCTGTGCTTTGTAAGATGTGTGGCAGGATCCTAGATGCCAGTAACAACGAAAAATGTCTCCTGGGAGTCAAAATTGCCTCCTTTCATGAGAATCACTGGACTACTCTACAGTGTCTGTAGTAATACTCCATTGTGGGGTTGTTGCTTTTTTAAAATTTCTCTGATGACTAATGGTGTTGAGTCCTTTTTAATGTGATAATTGGACATTTGTATAATTTTCTTACATGAAGTATATTATATATATATATATATATAATTGATTCTGTATATATGTTGTGAATATTTTCTTCTTGTCTGTGATTTACCAGGTCATTTTCTTAATGGTGTCTTTTGATGCACAGAGTTTTTTGTTTTGACAAAATATAATTTATCAAATGTGTGTTTTATACTTAATGCTTTCCGTCTTCGCTAAAGTTATAAGAATGTTCTTTGATGTTTTCATCTAGAAGTGGTTGTTTGCTTTTACCTTTAGACTTATGATTTCCATGTATAGCGTGAGATCTGAAGTCATGTTTTTATTTTTCCTCAGTATGGATATTCAGTTGTTCCAGCATCATTTGTTGAAAACTTTTTTCTCCATTGGACTACCTTGGCAATATGAGTCTATTACTGGACTCTATTCTGTTTTATATATTTGTTTATCCTTTTACTAATACCTCCATCTTGATTACTGTAGATTTATAGTCAGTCTCAAAGCCATTGTAAAGTTAGTACTCTAATATTATCCTTCTTTTCCAGTTTATTTTATTTATCCTACTTTGATTATATTTGCATGGAAATTTTAGAATCAGCTTGTAAATGCCTACCAAAAATCTTGCTTGAGTTTTAAACTGAGATTTCGTTAATATATATCCACTCTGGTAGAATGGGCATCTTAATAATATTGAGTCTTTTAATCCATGAACATATATCCTTCTCCTTACTTAAGCCATCTTTCATTTCTGTCATCAATATTTTATAATTTCCAGTGTACAGGTCTTACATATCTTTTTTTGAATTTATTTCTAGTTATTTGTTTTTGGTCCCATTGTAAATGGTATTTTGAAAAATATTTCATTTTTCAGTTGTTGATTGATAGTATATAAAATTATAGCTTATTTTTTTATACGGGTCTTGTATCCTACAGTCTAGGTAAATTTGCCTTTTACTTTTTATAGCTATTTTTGTCGATTTCTTAGAATTTTCTACGAGTACAATTATGTCATTTGCAAATAATGAGAGCTTTAATTCTGTCTTATCAATCTATATGTCTTTTATTTCCTTTTCTTGCCTTAATGCACTAGCTGGTTGCTTCTATTAAAATGTTCAGTTGAAGTGTTAAGAGCAGATATCCTTGCCTTGTTCCTGATTTTAGGAGGAAAACCTTCAATATTTTACCAGTAAATATACTGTTAGCAGTATGTTTTTAAAAATGCCCTTTATCCCATTGGCAACAAAAGCCAAAATAGACAAATGGGACCTAATCAAACTCCACGGCTTCTGCACAGCAAAAGAAACAGTCATTAGAGTGAATCAGCAACCAACAGAATGGGAAAAAATTTTTGCAGTTTACCCATCTGACAAAGGGCTGATATCCAGAATTTACAAAGAGCTAAAACAGATTTACAAGAAAAAAGCAAACAAGCCCATTCAAAAGTGGGCAAAGGATATGAACAGACACTTTACAAAAGAAGAAATACATGAGGCCAACAAACATATCAAAAAATGCTCATCATCACTGGTCATTAGAGAAATGCAAATCAAAACTACATTGAGATACTATCTCACACCAGTTAGAATGGCGATCATTAAAAAATCTGGAGACAACAGATGCTGGAGAGGATGTGGAGAAATAGGAACACTTTTACACTGTTGGTGGGAGTGTAAATTAGTTCAGCCATTGTGGAAGACAGTGTGGCGATTCCTCAAGGACCTAGAAATAGAAATTCCATTTGACCCAGCAATCTCATTACTGGGTATGTATCCAAAGGATTATAAATCGTTCTACTATAAGGACACATGCACATGAATGTTCATGGCAGCACAGTTTACAATAGCAAAGACCTGGAACTAACCCATATGCCCATCGATGATAGACTGGACAGGGAAAATGTGGCACATATACACCATGGAATAGTATGCAGCCATCAAAAACAATGAGTTCTTGTCCTTTGTAGGGACATGGATGAACCTGGAGACCATCATTCTCAGCAAACTGACACAAGAGCAGAAAATCAAACACTGCATGTTCTCACTCATAGGCGGTTGATGAAAAATGAGAACACATGGACACAGGGAGGGGAGCACTACACACTGGGGTTTGTTGGGGGAATGGAGGAGGGACAGCGGGGTGTGGGGAGTTGGGGAGAGATAGCAGGGGGAGAAATGCCAGATATAGGTGAAGAGGAGGAAGGCAGCAAATCACACTGCCACATGTGTACCTATTTAACTATCTGACATACTCTTTACATATACCCCAAAACCTAAAATGCAATTAAAAATTTTTTTTATTTAAATGCTCTTCATCAGCTTGGGGAAATTATTTTAATTAATACTTTGCTAAGAGTTTTTATAATAAATAGGTATTTAAAACTGTTAGATCCTTTTTTTTTTGCATTTATGGAATTTTACATTTATTGATTTTCCTAAATTAATTTGTTAATGTGGTGAATTACATAGATTTTTCTTAAGCCTACTTCTCATTCCAAGAATAAACAAACTTCACTTGTCATGAAGCATTATTTAACTTATTTATTGAGGGATTCTAGTTGCTATTATTTTTAAGGATTTTTATGTTTAAGTTCATGCTGTATATTTGTAATTTTCTCTTCTCGTAATGTTTATGCCTAAATTTATTATCATAGTTATGCTAGCCCCATAAAATGAGTTGTGATTTCATTTTCTTTCTTTTCTGAAAGAGTTTGTATAAGACTGCTATTTTTTTTTTTTTTTTCTTAGTTAAATGATTAATAGAATTTACTAGGGAAGTCATCTGGGCTTGGAGGTTTCTTTTTTTTTTTCTTGAGACCAAGTCTTCCTCTTGTTTCCCTGGCTGGAGTGCAGTGGCACAGTTTTGGCTCACTGCAACCTCCACCTCCTGGATTCAAGCAATTCTCCTGCCTTAGACTCCCAAGTAGCTGGGATTACAGGTGCTTCCATGCCCAACTAATTTTTTGTACTTTTAGTAGAGACAGGATTTCACCATGTTGGCTAGGCTGGTGTTGAACTCCTGACCTTAGGTGATCTACCTGTCTTGGCCTCCTAATGTGCTGAGATTACAGGAGGGAGCTACCAGACTTGGCCAGAAGTTTCTCTGTGGGAAATTTTGTAGTTATTTATTTATTTAAAGATAAAGTGCTTTTAACCTGTCTGTATATTATATTTGAAGTATATGTTCTCGTGTATAGCTCATAATTGAGACTTAAGAAACATTCCAATCTGTCAGTCTCTGTCTTTTTTTGAGAAGTATTTAGTTCATTTACATTTAATGCAGTTATTAACAATGCTTGGATTTAAATATGTTCTTTCTTTCTCTCTTTTCTTCCTTCCTTCCTTCCTCCTTACTTCTTTCCTTCATTCCTTTCATTTTGTCCTGTCTGCTCTTTGTCCCTCTGTTCTTCCTATCATCTTTTGGGTGCATCAAGTATTTTTACTATTTCATTTTATTTCCTCTGTTGAATTTTTGGCTATACCTTTTTTGTGTTTTTTGGTGATTGTTCTAGTGATTAAAATATCCATCTTTAAGTTATCACACTTTACTTTCAAAATACATCTTATTAGTTCACAGCTTAAGAAAGTTACAACAGTATCCTTCCAATTATCTCCCTCTTTCTCTTTTGTTTTCAGATATATTTTAACTCTGTATATGTTATCAATGCTATAGTATAATTATGATTTTAAGTATTTCTACTCGGCTCTTTTAAATAAATTTTGTGTGTTTATGTGTTTGTATCATTTTTGCCCTTTCTGATGTTTCTGTCTGTTATTATTTTCCCTTGGCCTATGATATATTTGCCTGTTTTCTTTTTTTTGAGATGGAGCCTCACCTTGTTGCCAAGGTTGGAGTGCAGTAGCACGATCTCAGCTCACTGCAACCTCTGCTTCCCTTCTTCAAGTGATTCTCCTGTCTCAGCCTCTCAAGTAGGTGGGATTACAGGGTGTGCCACCATGCCTGGCTAATTTTTGTATTCTTAGTAGAGACAGGGTTTCACCATGTTGGCCAGGCTGGTCTCAAACTCCTGCCTTCAAGTGATCTGCTCACCTTGGCCTCCCGAAGTTCTGGGATTACAAGTGTGAGCCACCATGCCCAGCACTACCAAGACCACTTGGTTGAAGAAACCCCAACCCAGGTGGCACTGAAGGAATTAAGAAACAGACAGAGGTAAGAGTGCAAAGTGGAACTATCAGAGGGCTAACAGCCTTCCGAGCTGAGAGCCTCAAGGGCTAAGAAGCCTTCAGAGCTGAGAGGCTTGAGCAGATTCTGACCCACAAATTTATTCTCTCTAAACAGGTGATTATTAACAACCAGGTGTTTTGTGTTTTCTCATAGAACAAAAATAAACCAAGCAGGTAGCTAGTACCTGCATAACACTGATCAAAGACAGACTAGAAAGTATTCTCCATGAGGGAGCCACAGGGCAGGGTCACATATCCCATGCTTAAAGAATTGTTTTAACTGGTATATGATATACATATACAGTTTTGCTACTTTAAAATGTTCTAAGCAGTTTTCCGCTTGGGTTGCTGGCTCAGTTTTCCTTGCCATCGTTCTTAGCAAATAATATAATTTATCATACATGTTAGGACTTGTCCCACACAGCCCTTTCTATTTGAAAGCTATTCTCCACTTTTATTAGCTAGTGGATTCTAGATTGAAAGGTTTTTTTTGTTTTTTGTTTTTTGTTTTTCTTTAAAAGTACTTACATTGTTTCCTGTCTTCTCCTTTTGGGTTTCTAATTATATGTGTATTTGATTGTCTCATGGCTACTGAATGCTCTGTTTTTTTTTTCTAGTCTTTTTTTTCCCCCATTTGTGTTTCAGTTTGCATAATTTCTATTTAATTATGGTAAAGTTCACTGGTTTTATTTTTCCTCTACTGTGTCCACCTGCTGATAAACTTCTTAAAGGAAGTCTTAATTTCTTGTCTAATTTTCATATCTCACATTTCTACTGGCTCTTTTTCAACAATAGCTTCCATCTCTTTCCCATCTTTTTACATGTATTGTCTACTATTTCCACAGGGTCCTTTAATAAATTTATCACAGTTAAGTTTTGCCTTATTTATTGAATTTTCATTTTAGGGAAGTCTGTTATATTTTAGAAATATAATATCTTTTTAAGATTAGTAAAGTTTTCTCCTTTTTCTTCTTTTAAGGTCCTTTTTTTTTTTCCACTTTTGCTTCTTCCTCCTTCCCCCACCCCCTCTCTTTTATTATAGAGGTGCTTTTCATATATCTGGTGGGCCTTGGTTGTCTGTTCCTATTTCAGAATGAAATATTACATGTGGATTTGGAAATTCACGTACATGACTGGGGCTTTCATCAAGCAATGGCTATCATTTTGTTGGATAACCTTTAATGTCAGCATCTGAATCCATTTCCCAGAGAAGAATTCTCAAATCTCCTGCCTGGGAGATTTGGTGGGAACTTGGGCTCCCACTGCTCTGTATGTCCATGCTTTTGTTGTTGCTATTTGTTTGTTTTTAATGTACTGCTGTGACCTAGTCATCAGTGTCATGCCTCATGTTCCTGAATCCAGAACATCTTTGGTCTTTCTCTCACAAGGTAGACCTGTAGCTTTCTGCTGTGGATGCCTGGCTTTATAGTCTTTATAGTCTTAACCAGTCTTTCTCTTTTTTCTTTTTGCCCTTCAACGCCATTCTCAAAGGTACTTAATGCTTTTCATTCCCCAGTTTCTCCGGCCTCTGTGAATGAACTCACTTCTTTCTCTTTCACTTTAGATTTAGGTTTCAGTTTTTGCAGATACACTGAATTTGTTATCATTTATTGATGGATTTTACATCTCTTCAAATGTTGACATGTTTTTTATCTTCTCTCCTATTTGTTCTTACACATTTATGCTTTTTTAAAAAAATTATTATTTCTTTGCTGTTATTAGTAAGGAATTTTGGGAGGGATAACAGTGTGAGCCAGTTGCTGTGGCTCACACTTGTAATCTTAGCTACTCAGGAGGCTGAAGCAGGAGGATTGCTTGAGCCCAGAAGTTCAAGGCTGTAGAGAGATATGATTGGGTCACTGCACTCCAGCCTGGGCGACAGAGCAAGATCCTATCTCTAATAAATTTGCCATTTAATGGAAGCCCTGAACTATTTTCTTTTCCTTTTAGAGGCCCGGTACCCTTCTGTGGCCATATGCCTTTGCATTTGCACCCTGCCCATCCGTTGCCTCACCTGATTCTCACTCATTGTTTCAAAATGATCTTAGTTGTAATATTGCCTCCGCAGCTCCCTGTGGTGCCTCTCTTCCTTGTGGTTACCCTCCCCTACTCGTAGTGCATTTCATGGTATTTCTCTAGGACAAGGCGGTATAGCTGTTAGATGAGGGAGAATGCGGGTAGGTGGACTATGATAAAAGGTTGGATTTTTTTTCCCTGCTTTTCTTTTACAAGATGAGAGAGACTTGAACATGTTTACGTTGTATGGGAAGTAGCCACGGAAAAGCTTGGGATTGAAGTTATAGGAGAGATTGAATAATTAACAAAGGCAGAAGGGGATGGGTTCTTAATCCTAGGTAGAAGGATTAGCTTTAGGTAAGAGAGACCGGTCTTCATTGTTACAGGGAGGAAGGAAGAAAAGATGGTTGCAGTAGCCAGTTTGCTTGTAGGTTTGGTAGCAGAAAGTTGATGAGCTCTCATTTGGTATCTTTTTTAAATTCTCTGTAAAGTAGAAGACAGAGTTATCTGTTGAGGGTGAGAGATGAAGTGAAGCAGCAAATTACAGGAGACAGAATTTCAACTAGCATTATTCTGGGAAGGTTTCTTGTAGGTAGCTATGTGTACTATGGCAGTAAAAAGTCTCACCTAACAACCTGGCAGCAGGCAACAAGAGACAATAAATCTGATATGGTTTGGCCGTGTCTCCACCCAAATCTCATCTTGAATTGTAGCTCCCATAGTCCTAATGTGTTATGAGAGGGACCTGGTGGGAGATAACTGAATCATGAGGGGGGGCCCATACTGTTCTCCTCATGGTAGTGAGTAAGTCTCACAAGATCTGATGGTTTTATAAGGGGTTTCCCGTTTCACTTGATTCTCATTCTCTCTTGCCTACTGCCAGGATTGTGAGGCCTCCCCAGCCATGTGGAACTATGAATCCATTAAACCTCTTTTTCTTTATAAATTGTCCAGTCGCTGGTATATGTTTATCAGCAGTGTGAAAATGGATTAATACACCATCTCATAGCATTTTGCCCTTCTTTAGCCTGAGTTGATGTATTAGTGGTCCTTATATTACAGTTTAGTACAATAATTTATGATATTATGGCCATGAGTTATGTTCAGTTTATTCTATTTAAGAATGAAAGGAAGTATGGAGTAGTAAGTGTATAATTAGTAGCATGCGTATTGTACTTAGCAGTTTACAAATGCTTTAGCCTCTTATCTGGTTTTACCCTCTTTAAGGTAGGTTTTATTACCCCTATGTTTGTATTTGAGAAAATGAAGGCATAGTTACAGTTAAGTGGTTTGTCAGAAACACAGAATTAGTAAGGGTTATGATCTAGGCTTCATCACATATTCTCTGACTCTAGATTCTCTTCCATTATATCACACTTCTCATAATTGCCATCTAAAAGGGTTTACTGTTGTTTAAAGGCATAATTTTTATTTTTTCTGGATTTCCATGAAACACCTCATTTATGCACAGTTAATTAAATATTATGGAAGGTCAGACAATTACTACTTTCTTGTAATTTGGAAAAGATCCAGATTTTTTATGGCTTATAAAGTGCAAGTTATTTTTCTTACTCTTTTTGCATGGTAAGTTTAGACTTTCTAATAGAATTAAGGAGAAAATTATAAGGGAAAATCATATTATTTATCATGTTTGTAAGATTTTTTTAAACAAAAAGAGGCTTCTAAAGTTCATATTCTTGTTTCCCAATTAGAATTACCACATTTTGTTAGTCTGCGTTTTTCAACAATGTCACAAGACAGTTGGGGAATAAAATTACAGTTGACTAACAGCATTCTCTAATTTTGTAAAAAGGCACATGTATTACATGTCCTTTTCCAAGTTCAGAAGACTTTGAATTTAACACCTCCTACACAATTAGTTGTTTGGATAAAATATTGCTAAGTTGTAGGCTGCTTAGTTTACAATACATGTTGATTTAGTAAATACTGTTTCTTTATTTCAGTTTTTGTAAATGTAATGCTTATTCAGGGTCCTGATTCAGAAAAAATTCTTACTAATTGAAATATTTTCAAATACTTTAAAGATACATATATATGTAAAGTGCAGAATTAGCTTTAAAGACATTATTCACATACCATACATATTATTTATTAGAGATATACATGTTAGCCTGCTGTGTAACAATTTACTATATAAAAAACAAAAGTAACTGAATCAACATTTTTCAGCACTGTTTTATTAACAGGGACTTTACTTATTAGTAAATCAATTGTGAATTGATTTTTAAAATATTTTTTAGTTTTCTGTTAAAAACAATTTTAATAATAATCTGTTGTTTTGAAATGGTCTAAGGTCCAGAATGATTAGTTATGTTATTCCCATATTTTTTGCAGTTATGCATGTGAAAATTGCTATTTACTGAAGAGAAAGCTTCATCTCAAAAGCTTTGTTAAATTGAGAACTGGGGGGTCTTTTCCCATTGATGCTGATAATATTACAGGATACTTTTCAATTGGAAAAGAGTTACTGTGTTGGAAAATTATATGCTGCTGTTATAATATGTTCTATAATCATAAAGAAAATCCATGTAATTTGAGTCAGGAGTGTCTTATTCTTAATGTTGGAAGGGTGTAAAATACCACTTAATACTTAGGTGGGCATTCAGAGGGTCTCATTTTATTAGAAATGGTTACATATAGATTAGCTTTAAGCTAGTTATGTAATCCATTTTAATGTCTTGAAAAAGAAAGTAGCAAGGGTACCTGTACTACAGTCAGAAGAAAATTACCACATTGGAAAAGAAGGGATTAAGAACAATTCTTTAAATAGGTCTTTTGAGTACACTACAAAGCAAAAGTGATCTTGATTACAGGAAAGGTACTTAGGCATTAAGAGAAATTTTGTGAAAAAAATCTAGGAATGTTGTAAGTAAAAATCAGGAAGATAAAACTCGTCTTGTAGTCTAAATTATCATTTCTGTTACCATAGTTAATTGTTTAGCTGTCATTTAGATATTAATATATAGAATGCACGATATGTAACAATAAAGAGTTATCTCATAGAGACTATTATAAACAATTCTTTTTTGTGATAAAAGTGGTGGGAATAACATTTTAAATGAATATTTAAGTAGTAACTTTAGCTAATATGTAGCACTGTGTGTATAAGATACCCTTGTAATCACTTCATGTGAATTAACTCATTTAACTCTGCAAAGTACAATATCATTATTATTCCTAATATATAGATGAGTAAACCAAGGCTCAGAGATTAAGTAACATACTGACTAGTAGCAAGAAATTATGACACACTCTACATATACTTTGAAAACTGTATGAAAAAAAGCAGGCAGTCAGTTACCTTTCCAGTGTTTTTGTTTTTGTTTTAATTTTTCTACTGTGTAAATGCAGCAATAATAGATTATATCTTTAGAGAAAAGGTAGTATTTATATTAATGGCACAGTGTTTTCTTGTTAACCCACCTGAAGGTCACTGAACTCCATCCATTTTAATGACGGCTTTATTAGTTAGGCATATTTGATTAAATCAGTGGCTACTGGTGATCGGCTCAACCATCAACCCTTCTCCTCTCCCTGGAGATTGAGGGCTGGGGCTGAAAGTCCCAACCCTCCAATCATGCTTTGGTCTTTCTGGTCACCAGCCCCCCTCCTGAAGCTGCCTACATGCCTCCAGCCACTAGGCATTTCGTTAGCCTACCAAAGATCCTCTTCACTTCAGAGATTCCAAGCATTTTAGGAGCTGTTTGCCAGGAACCAGGGGCAGAGACCAAATATATATCTTTCTCATATGACAATATTGTAGGTTATAGACATGAAACTTCAGATACTATACTTAATGGACAATTTAAAGATTTTCTACAAGTAGTTTTGATTACATGTAATTTTCACATTGCCTTTGGATCTGGACACCTATAAAAATTGTTCTTCCTTTGTAAGTGTCCAAGTTGCATGTTGGGAAGTTAATGCTATTACCAGTTGGTGGAATTGGAAAGCAAGGTTGCACAGCAAGTTTTGCTTGTAGTTTATGGAAAAGAAATCCCCCCCCGGGTTGCTGTATTGTGAGGAAAGAAAGGTAGGGACCAGCATATGCTGTAAGTGTGGGAATATATCCTCCCCACACCTGATGCAGCCTTTCATCCTAATGTTGCAGAATGTATCTCTTCTGCACAGCTAGGTGTGGGACTCAGTTTCAGCCTTTTGTTTTCTGTTCTACTATCTTGTCCTTTCTTCAGGCAGTTCTTCTATGATATATGTAATTATCTTAAGCCGAATAGGGCTATCAAAACAAAAGTTCATTTCCACAATAATTTCCAGAATAGGCAAAATACTCTCAGGGCAAAAACACCTTTAGTTCTTTGATTGTTTTTACTTCAGTTTCGGCCTTACTATCTTGTCAATTCTTTGATGCTTTTACAATGTTTTATAATATAGTTCATATTCATTTTGTAGTTCTCAGTGAAAAAATTGGAGCAAACAGACTGGCACTACCCCATTGTAAACAAGAAGCCCCCTTCCCATTCCTCCTATTCAATGGAGGAAGTCCACCATCCATTAAGGTACAACTCAATGAACTTTTTGAACGTTTCCTTATAGTTACTCAAGAAGTCTCCCCACTTCTTAGGTGTTCCATTGATACGTTGTAACTCTGTTATTTCACTGTCCATATCCTCTTTTTGCTCTAATTGCTTATGCCTGTAGTGCCTATCAGTTAGAAGTGAAGTCCTTGGAGTCAGGGATCGTGTCTCAGTTATTTTTGTGTCCTTGGTAGCACCAATTTCATGGACTCAATGTAATAGATTCTTAGTACATGTTTTGGTTGAATTGTACTGGATTTTGCTGAAGTAGAATAGAAGGGTTAAGAATGAAGTTGGCTCTGTTCATTTGGCATCTCTGTATGATACCGTATTCTACTGTGGCTGAGCTGGTATCCAGTCCTGAGCCTGTTCTCCCTTTTCTGTTATTCCTTACAGGTTCAGTGGTGATGTTAAATAGCCCTTGACCCATGCGAACTGATGACAGAATAGAGCCACAGCATGTGAAGTGATTTGACCTATAGCAATCTGAACCAGTGTTTTGTCTATACCTGTCCTCAGAGGCTATCTAGCTGCTAGATTTCATTTTTAATAATTCAGCTAAGAGTGTGGAACACTTTTCTCTTGAGGTTTTCAATAGCTAGTCTGAAGACATGTCTTCGAGAGCTTTAACTACTGTTCTAGAAGAGAGTGTTGGAATCGGGAAGAATAAGCATATTAGGTAGTTAAAGGAAAATATCTGAAAAAGAAAATAGAGAATATAAGCATGTAATTTTCAGTTTACTAAAGAATACTGTTTTTAGGAATAATAGTCATGAAAATTATAAGGGATTCAAGAAAATTATAAGGGAAAAAGAATTTTTGAAAAGCCTCTGTTACGCAGTTTAATGCATCTTTTAGTTTAGACATGATTGCTTCACAATCACAGTGATTTTTGCACACAATTTTGTAATTTTTAAAGAGTTTTAAACATATATCACAAATTATTCTAGATTCTTTATATCAGGTTTTTAGAAAGTAAATATTAAAAGGAACTTCAGGTGGTGAACATTCAACTGGAGCAATTTATTGTTACATAATAGAAAAGGCCCAAAATGCTGGTTATTCCAACTGAGTTTTATCTGAGCCATGATCTTCCCAGACACATAAGTAGATTTTAGAATCAACTCTTACAGTGACCTTTTTGCTTGTACAACTCCCTTCAACTTTGGTGACTCTCTAGATGTCCCTGTTTAATGAATGCCAACTTATGCATGTACTATAGTAATGTGTCACAAAAGCATTTGACATAAATTATATATTAGATGATATATGTTGGTTTGTTTGTGTTAAACTGTATGAAGATCTTAGAAATGTAAAAATTCAATCACTTACTTGGAGACCATATGATTGCCTCCAATCCCCCTGGGAGTTAAGTAAGATAAATATTGTAAATTCAATTACCATATAAAGAGTTGTTTCTTTTCTAAGTTAAGTAAACTAACACAAAGATCACTAAAAATATAAGGCTTCTTGAATGTTCTTTTTTCCCTCCCTCTTTTGACAAGACTGTGAAAAGGTGACAGTAATAATGTAATATTAATAAGGCCTACTCCTGGAGAGGAAGCAGAATAAGATGGCCAAGTAGAAGCCTCCAGTGATCATCCCTTCTGCAGGAACATCAAATTGGACAACTATATTAGGGAAGGAGGCCTGGAGTAGGATAGGAAGGACAGTCTTTAATCACTTACACCATCCCTCTCCCATCCCCCTGCAGTGGCACCTGGCATGGAAAGAGAATCCGTGTGCTCAGGGAAGGGAGAGCACCATGCTTGTAGGATGTTGCATTCACAGTGCTGCTGTGTCACAGTGGAAAGCAACACTTGGCAAAATTCAGCCAGCACCCACAAAGAGCATTTAGACCAGCCCTAGATGGTAAGTTGTCCATCCCCAGAGGTCTGAACTTGAGTTCTAGCAAGCCCTCCACCCCAAGCTAAAGTCATCTGGGGTCATAAATTAACTTGAAATTTAATCCTTGTGGCAGTCTAGGCCACAAGGATTGTAATTCCTGGACAGGTGTTATGCTGAGCTCAGAGTCAGTTGACTTGGGGTGCACATGACCTGATGAGACACTAGCTAGGGTGACCAAGGTAGTACTTGCATCAGCCTTCCCCCAACCCTAGGCAACACAGCTAAAACTCTGGGAGAGACTCCTTCCTTCTGCTCGAGGTGAAGATAGTAGAGAGTAAAGACAACTGTGTCTTGCAACTTGGATACCAGCTCAGCCACAGTAGAATAGGGGAGCCAGTCCCCCCATTCTAGGCTCTATCTCCTGAGTGACATTTCTAGACATACCCTGGGCCAGAGGGGAACCTTCTGCTTTGAAGGGAAGGACCCAGTTCTAGCAGAATGCATTACTTACTGACTAAAGAAACCTTCAGTTTTGACATCACTGGTACCCAGGCAGTACTTGCCGTGGGCCTTGGGTAAGACTCAGGGCTGTGCTGGCTTCAGATGTGACCCAGCACATTCCCAGCTATGGTGGCCATGGAGAGAGATTCCTGCTGAGGAAAAGAGAAAGAAGAGTAAAGGGACTTTGTTTTGTACCTTGGATACCAGCATGGCTATGGTGGGGTAGAACACCAAGTGGGTTCCTGGCATACTCAGTTCCAGACTAGCTCCTGAACAGCATCTTTGGACCTTCCCTGGGCCAGAGGGAGCCCACTGCCCTAAAGAGACTCAGGGCTGGCAGTGTTCACCAGAAGCTGACTGAAGAGTCTTTAGGCCTTGAATGAACATCAGTGGTAGCCAGGCAGTACTTGCTGCAGGCCTGGAGTGGTGGTGACCATAGGGGAGAGACTCCTTCTGCATGAGGAAAAGAGAGAAAAAGTGGAAAAGACATCCTCTTGTGGCTTGGGTGCCAGCTCAGCCACAGTAGAATAGAGTACCAGGTAGACTATGATTCCAACTCCAAGCCCTGGCTCCCAGATAGCACCTCTGGGTTTGCCCAGGGCCAGGGGGCAAGCCTGGCTGAATTCAACACCTGGTAATTATAGAGCCCAGGGACCTTGAGTAAACATAGGTAGGTAGCCAGGTAGTAGTCACTGTGGGCTCTGAGCAAACCCAGTGTGGTGGTGACTTCAAATCTGAACCACCACAGTCCCAGTGGTGATGGCCACGTAGGTGCTTGTGTTACCCCTTCCCCTGCTCCAGGTAGCTCAGCACAGAGAGAGAGAGAGAGAGAGAGAGAGATGGCCACGTAGGTGCTTGTGTTACCCCTTCCCCTGCTCCAGGTAGCTCAGCAGAGAGAGAGAGAGAGAGAGGGAGGAAGAGGAAGAGGAAGGAGGAGGAGGAGGAGGAGGGAGGGGGGAGGGGGGAGGGGGGGAGGGAGAGTGACAGTACAAAAGCCTGTCTAGTAATCTAGGGAATTCTCCCAGATCTTACGCAAGATCACCAAGGCAGTACTACAAGTCTGTAAGAGCCACAACATTACTGAGGTTGGGATGCCCTCTAAATGAAGATATAGAGGCAGTGACCAAAGAGTTAGATTACAACGCACAAGTTTCTCTGAATACTTGGAATGCCTTCACAAGAAGGACTGGTACAAACAACCACAGACTATGAAGACTACAATAAATACCTAATTCTTCAATGCCCAGGCACCAAAGAACATCCACAAATATCAAGACCATTCAGGAAAACATGACCTCAACTAAATAAGGCAAGGTAACAGTGGCCAATCCCAGAGAGATAGAGATATATGACCTTACAAATAGAGAATTCAAAATAGGTGTTCTGGGGAAGCTCAGTGAAATTCAAGATAACACAGAGAAACATTTCAAAATCCTGTCAAATAAATTTAACAAAGAGACTGAAACAATTAAAATGAATCAAGAAGAAATTTTGGAGCTGACAAATGCAATTCATATCCTGAAGAATTCATCAGCATATCTTAACAGCAGAATTGATCAAGCAGAATAAAGAATTAGTAAGCTTGAAGACAGGCTCCTTGAAAATACACAGTCACAAGGGACAAAAGAAAGAAGAATAAAAAAAAGAAGGAAACATGCCTACAACACCTAGAAAATAACCTCAGTAGTGCAAATCTAAGAATTATTGGACTTAAAGTGGAGGTAGAGAGAGGGGTAGCAAGTTTATTCAGAGGGTTAATAACGGAGAACTTCTGAAACCTAGAGAAAGATATCAATATTCAAGTACAAGAAGGTTATAGAGCATCAAGCAGATTTAACCCAAATAAGACTACCTCAAGATATTTAATAATCAAACTCCCAAAGGTCAAGGATAAAGAGAGGATCCTAAAAGCAGCAAGAGAAAAGAATCAAATAGCATGCAAAGGAGCTCTAATATATCTGGCAGCAGATTTCCTAGTGGAAATCTTACAGGCCAGGAAGGAGTGGCATGACATATTTAAAGTGCTGAAGGGAAAAAAAAAAAAAACTTATTCTAGAATAGTATATCCAGCAAAAATATCCTTCAAATATGAAGGAGAAAGAAAAGACTTTCCCAAACACAAGCTACGGGAGTTCATCAACAACAGACCTGTCCTACAAGAAGTACTAGAGAGAGTTCTTCCATCTGAAAGAAAAGTACATTAATAAGCAATAAGAAACCATCTGAAGGTACAGAATTCACTAGTAACAGTAAGTACATAGAAAAACTCAGACTGTTATAAATGGTAATTGTGGTATGTAAATTACTTGTATCCTGAGAAGAAAGAGTAAAAGATGAACCTATAAAAAGTAATTACTACAATAACTTTTCAAGACCTAGACAGTATAATAAAATATAAAATAGGAACAATAAACACTTAAAAAGTGGGGGGACAAGAGCACATAAATGTCTTCTTTTGAGAAGTACCTGTTCATATCCTTCACCCACTTTTTGATGGGGTTATTTTTTTCTTGTAAATTTTAGTTCTTTGTAGATTCTGGATATTAGCCCTTTGTCAGATGGGTGGATTGCAACAATTTTTTCCCATTCTGTTGGTTGTCGGTTCACTCTAATGATTGTTTCTTTTGCTGTACAGAAGCTCTGGAGTTTAATTAGATCCCACTTGTCTATTTTGGCTTTTGTTGCCATTGCTTTTGGTGTTTTAGTCGTGAAGTCCTTGCCTATGCCTATGTCCTGAATGGTTTTGCCTAGGTTTTCTTCTAGGGATTTTATGGTGTTAGGTCTTATGTTTAAGTCTTTATTCCATCTGGAGTTGATTTTAGTGCTAGGTGTCAGGAAGGAGTCCAGTTTCTGCTTTGTGCACATGGCTAACCAGTTTCACCAACACCATTTATTAAATGGGGAATCCTTTCCCCATTGCTTGTTTTTGTCAGGTTTGTCAAAGATCAGATGGTTGTAGATGTGTGGCGTTGCCTCCGTGCCTCTGTTCTGTTCCATTGGTCTATATCTCTGTTTTGGTACCAGTACTGTGCTGTTTTGATTACTGTGGCCTTCTAGTATAGTGAAGTCAGGTAGGGTGATACCTCCAACTTTGTTCTTTTTGCTTAGAATTGACTTGGCTCTTTGGGTTCTCTTTTGATTGCATATCCAGTTTAAGGTGTTTTTTTCCAGTTCTGTGAAGAGGGTCATAGGTAGCTTGATGGGGATAGCACTGAATATATAAAATACATTGGGCAGTACGGCCTTTTCACAATATTGATTCTTCCTAACCATGAACGTGGAATGTTTTTCCATCTGTTTGTGTCCTCTCTTATTTCCTTGAGCAGTGGTTTGTAGTTCTCCTTGAAGAAGGCCTTTACATCCTTTGTTAGTTGTATTCCTAGGTATTTTATTCTCTTTGTGGCAATTGTGAATGACAGTGCATTCTTGATTTGGCTCTCTGTTAGTCTGTTATTGGTGTATAGGAATGCTTGTGATTTCTGCACATCAATTTTATATCCTGAGACCTTGCTGAAGTTACTTATCAGTTTCAAGAGACTTTGGGCTGTGACGATGGGGTCTTCTAAATATACAATCATGTCGTCTGCAAATAGAGACAATTTGACTTCCTCCTTTCCTAACTGAATACTCTTTATTTCTTTTTCATGCCTGATTGCTCTGGCTAGAACTTCCAATACTATATTGAATAAGAGCAGTGAGAGAGGGCATCCTTGTCTAGTGCCAGATCTCAAAGGGAATGCTTCCAGTTTTTGCCCATTCAGTATGATATTGGCTGTGGGTTTGTTGTAAATAGCTTTCAATATTTTGAGATATGTTCCATCGATACTTAGTTTATTGGAGTTTTTAGAATAAAGGGCTGTTAAATTTTGTCGAAGGCATTCTCTGCATCTGTTGAAATGATCCTGTGGTTTTTGTCTTTGGTTCTGTTTATGTGGTGAATTACATTTATAGACTTGTGTAAGTTGAACCAGCCTTGCATACCTGGGATGAAGCCTACTTGATCGTGACGGATACGCTTTTTGATGTGCTGTTGCAATCAGTTTGCCAGTATTTTACTGAAGATTTTTGCATCTATGTTCATCATGGATCTTGGCGTGAAGTTTTCTTTTCTTGTTGAATCTCTGCCAGCTTTTGATATCAGGATGATGTTGGTCTCATAAAACGATTTTTTTTATGAAAAAAATCATAAAATCTTTTGGGAATCCAAAAAGGATTCCCTCTTTTTGGATTCTTTGGAATAGTTTCAGAAGGAGTGGTACCAGCTCCTCTTTGTATGTCTGGTAGAATTCAGCTGTGAACCCATCTGGACCTTGGCTTTTTTTGGTTGGTAGGCTATTAATTGCTGCCTCAACTTCAGCCCTTGTTATTGGTCTATTCAGGGTTTCAACTTCTTCCTGGTTTGGTCTTGGGAGGGTGCAAGTGTCCAGAAATTTATCCATTTCTTCCAGGTTTACTGATTTATTTGCATAGAGTTGTTTGTAGTAATCTCTGATGGTAGTTTGTATTTCTGTGGAATGGGTGGTGATATCCCCTTTATCATTTTTTATTGTATGTTTGATTATTCTCTCTTTTCTTTTTTATTAATCTGGCTAATGGTCTGTCCATTTTTGTTGATCTATTCAAAAAACCAGCTCCTGGATTTATTGATTTTTTTTTGAAGGGTTTTCTTGTGTCTCTGTCTCCTTCAGTTCTGCTCTGATCTTAGTTATTTCTTGCCTTCTGCTAGTTTTTGAGTTTTTTTAATCTTGCTTCTCTCGCTTTTTCAATTTTGATGATAGAGTGTCGATTTTAGATATTTCCCTGCTTCTCATGTGTGCATTTATTGCTATAAATTTCCCTCTAGACACTACTTTAAATGTGTCCCAGAGATTCTGGTACGTTGTGTCTTTGTTCTCATTGGTTTTGAAGAACATCTTTATTTCTGCCTTCATTTCATTGTTTATCCAGTCAACATTCAAGAGCCAATTGTTCAGTTTCCATGGAGTTGTGTGGTTCTGAGTTAGTTTCTTAATCTTGAGTTCTAATTTGATTGCATTGTGGTCTGAGAGACTGTTATGATTTCTGTTTTTTTGCACTTGCTGAGGAGTGATTTACTTCCAATTATGTGATCAGTTTTAGAGTAGGTGTGAATGTGGTTCTGAGAAGAATGTATATTCTGTGGAGTTGGGGTGGAGAGTTCTGTAAATGCCTGTTCAGTGTGCTTGGTCCAGATCTGAGTTCAAGTCCTGGATATCCGTGTTAATTTTCTGTCTCATTGATCTGTCTAATATTGACAATGGAGTGTTAAAGTCTCCCAGTATTATTGTGTGGGAGTCTAAGTCTCTTTGTAGGTTGTTAAGAACTTGCCTTATGTATCTGGGTACTCCTGTATTGGGTGCATATATATTTAGGATCATTAGCTCTTCTTGTTGCATTGATCCTTTTATCATCAAGCAATGACCTTCTTTGTCTCT